CACACACACCATCTTCTGCTCTCTGTGAGCATCCACACACATGCACAAGCACACACAAACACACACACACAAATCTTTTAAAAAATTAAATTTCAAATGCTTGGCCTAACAGTTTCAGGCTTTTTGTAGACGTCTGCGGTTCATTTTGACTGATTCTGTGCGGAGTGAGGTAAGGCTCCAGTCTCCTCCTACACGTGGTTCAGCTTTCACGGCACTGTTTGCTGTAGAGGCAGCCTCACTTTACTGTTTTTTATATCTATGCAAAAAAAAAAAAAAAAAAGGTAGCTATAGCTATGTGAGCTTATTTCTGGGGTCCTCAATGCTACATGGCTACACAGCTGGTTTTGTGCAGAACCCATACTTCCCTAGTTACTATGGCTCTGTGGTATAATTTGAAATTGGGCATCACGATGCCTCAAGCATTGTTGTTTCTACTTAGGATTACTTTGGCTACATGGGGTTCTTTGTGCTTCCATATGACTTTGGATTGCTCCTTCTAGCTTTGTGGAGAATGACACTGGGGTTTTGACGGAAAGTACATTGACTATGTAGATAATTTGTAACAATGTAGCCATTTCATAATATTAATTTTGTCAATCCATAAGTATGAAGGGCTTGTCATCATCCAGGTCTCTTTTTTAACATCTTCAGTGTCATAAAGTTCATATAGAGAGGTCTCTCATCTCTTTCACAGGTTTGTTCCTACTTCTTTTCTTTTTTTTTGAAGAACTGTGAATGGGAATTTTTTCCTGATCTCTTTCTTGGTAATTACATTCATTAGGTACTGACTTCATGGTAATTTTGTATCCAACTGCCTGGCTGCAAGTGCACAGCAGATCTAAGTGGAGTCTTTAAAACAGAGCTATGACATCTTGAAAGCATGACCGCTTGGCCTCTTCCTTCCCCAGGTGTATTCCTTTCACTTCCTTCTCATCAAATCATCCTAGCTAAGGCTCCAGCACTGCACTGAATAGGACTGCAAAGGCAGCATCTAGCTAAGACTCCAGCACTGCACTGAATAGGACTGCAGAGAAGGCATCTTTGAAAATATTTACTGCTGGCAAGGTGACAGTCTTGTTGGAATCCAGGATAAGAACAACATAGACCCATTCTGTTTTCACAACACTCACACAGGCACTGAGAAGTAGAAGACAAGGTCAGTACAAAAAGTACAGAGTCCATAGACTACCATAAACTATGACTGGCAGTGACACAAAAACTACCAAGCTTTCTGTCAGGTTCTTCATCAAAAGAACAGTGTATAATATAATCTAAGATAGCATCAAAACTGAATAAGTCAACAAACAGATAATTAAACACACAGAAATGCTTCTCCTAGATCCAAATCTTTATATTAGTAATAAGAAAGCACTATAAGCTTCTTAAGGGCTTGCTGATGGTGGAACTTCAATCCTAAGAGACCAGCTTTCTCTCAGTATCAAGTAAATAGAACATCTTCAGACAGTAAAGAAAAGTAGCAGTTCTGAAGAGGAGAATAAGCGGCCAGGAGAGCACTGTGAAAGCATCCTCACCACTTCTTGGCATCTCAGCTAAGCTCGAGCATAAAACAAACTCTCAGGACCAAAGAACTGACCAGTTGTGTCATTTACAGTCATCCTAGCAAACGGAAGGAACAAGTATCCTGATGGGCTGCTCTGACATCTAAAGTCAGCGTCTGCATATGAAACAGTTAATATAAAGAGAGATCAAAGGAAGGAGAAAAGGATGAAAAAGAAAGACAGTCATGAGAATCACGGAAATGGAGGTGGAGACAGTGGCAGCCACTCACAGAACAGAGAAGTCATGTGGGATGGAATTAGTTGGCCATTCTGACCACGAGAAACAGAAACACTGACAATGTAGGAACACCTTTGCAGGAGGAGCTAGTCCCCTGGAAAGGACTACTGTGCAATGGAGAACAATTTCCTCCTTCAAAGCCCAAAGCTGCTGCTGCTCTGGTGCATGGTTCCACTAACATACTCATTGAAGCAACCCCGAGAAATGCCAGGCCCACCAGGCGCCCTCTAGAGAAGGTTCTGCCTTCCCAGAGACTCATAATGTCCTTGAGCTGCCTGATGGTCCAAGGAGATTCTGAAAAAAAAAAAAAAAACCAATATCCAAGAATCCTGCATCCCGAGCCATGTATAAGGTGGTGCTCCAAGAGCTCTGAGCAAGTTATGGCAGTTAACAGAAACCCATCAGTCTACCAGCGCAGACACTGAAGAAACACGAAAGAATGCCTTTCAGTTCCTAGAAAAGCCTCACACTCACTTAGCCCATGATACACAACAACAATCTAAGTTTCTACAACCCTCCCTTGGCTTTCAAAACCCAAAACAAGAACAAAATACTTGTCTCTCTTTTGCTCACTGACTTAGGGATCGTGATGAAAAGGCAGTGTTTGAGCCAAGGCTCTCCATGGACCTCATCCAGGCACAAAACCTACAGAGTGCACAGTAGAGAGTGGGGGCTCAGGTGGCTTCCTAGCCTTCCTAAACCCCACTCGTCATCTGGAACGGTGGACAACAGTCTCGGCATCACTCTCTCATCTTTCTCTGATGCTCCTACTGGGTTCCCTCAGCATGAATGTGATGCTCTAACAACACTGTCCACATCACGTCTCAAAGTCCACCTACACAGAGCAACACTGAAAAACAAATGAGACGATATGTTTCTCTCGGACAAGAACAGGTTTATTCCCAGGCTTTGTGTTCCTGGTGGAAGCAAGAGTTTCCCCTGTGGAAACTGGGGCTCAGGGAAGTTAGGCATCCAAGCTGAAATTCTGGCAGCTGCTTTTGTTGTAACACAAGGCTTCAGTTTCGGACTTAGGAGTTTCATGTTTTACAAGCTGGGGTAAATAGCTCAGTCAGCAACATACTTGTCATACAAATATGAGGAGCTGTGTTCTGACAACTAGCAACCATGTAAAAGTTTGCGGTGGCAAGATGCAGGCCTGTAACTTCAGTATTGTCTACTTGAAAGTAGGCATGACTTCCGGTCTGGGCCCAAGCATAGAGCAGGTCACGCAACCCCAGAAAACCGAGAGAAAAAGGGACTCCCAGGAGCTTTAACTCAGGCAGCATCCCAGGTAAAAATGAATCACCCATGATGTCTGCTGTTAGAAGTTCTAATCCAGATGCTGGCCTCCAAACTTATACTACTCAGACCTTTGAAGGGCCACTGACAAGAACATCAAACAGCTAGAGATTGACATCACTAATCTGAAGAAATCCCTCGTTTCGCCGTCTGAAGAGACCTCCTAAAATCGCAAAGATCCTTATTGGACTTGATTTATTCTAGTAAAATAGAAAAGGCTGTATACAGCTCTTGACTGTGTATAACCCTCAAAGAAGAAGGTTGCCTTTACATAGACAAGACAAGGAGGGTTAAAGAGAGCATGAAACAGGTAGTGAAGGCCCTAAGAAAAATCAGAGAGAGAAAGAGACAGATGAATGCTGGTACAAGAATTGGTCTGCAGCCTCTCCAAGGTTGTCAACCCTATTTCCTTCCATCTTGGGACCATTATTTGGGTTCTTTTTGCTTTTTTCTGCTGGCCCCTGGCCCTCAAATAGGCGGACTAACTCTGTGATACAACAGATAAATAATTTGGTAGCAAAACCTACTCAGATACATTATCATAAGTTAGCTATGGAGGACCACGAGACTCAAGATGAGGTTGTTACTTTATACAGGGTGTTTGCAAAACCCATCTCCACCCAACCTAAAAGGGGGGACTTCTGCCCCTAGACCAAGCAGAGAGGGGCCACCCAGAACCCCCTCTGACGGGCGATCTGAATTCTTGCTTAGGCTGCGAGGCTAAGCACTGCAAGGGAATATAAATAAAAGTTAAAAATATCTCTCTGGGTTCCCTGAGGGACAAGCCTGACTGCATAGGGGTTGATGTCAAAAGTACCCCCTCTCCAGGAAAAAGACATCGGGACGGGTATGGCCCTCATGCCTCACTGGACAATGACAGGGGGACTGGAGCCATTACAAGGTCCCCTTCAAATACTGGAGGTCAGGCCTCTATCCCCGCCTTCGCAAGTTTAGGATTGCCACAGCCCTTCTATACTTAGAGAAGGGAGGAGATGTCAGGGGCAGCCCTGCTTACACACTGTAGGCCTAAAATCAACCATAGGCCTAAAATCAGCAATAGGCCTGTCATACATGTATACTAACACCAAGTCTTGGGTCTCGGTGGAAAAACACTGAAACAGATGGCTATAAGCTAATGTCAACAGGCAGCTTTTGTGGAAATTTATAAGCCTGAGTAGTCATAGACCTTGTAAATAGGTAGCCTTGGCAGACAATACCAACTTAGATAAGGACAAGCGAGTCATAGGCAGAGTCATAGTGAACTGTCCCCTGAACCTTCACCTAGCCGATACCCGGTTCTGAAGATATCTGTATTCCCCCTGAACATCCACACTCCAGTGTCATTCCCTTCCCCACATCCTGCCTTTCTGTGTTTATAACCCCTGTGTGAATTAATTACGATTTGAGAAAAAAAAAAAAAGTCTGGGAAAAAAAAAAGAAACAAATTGGAAATTTTTATTTATGCTGATTTTACTGTAAATATTCATACAATTTTTTTTATAAAATAAAAAAGTAAAAAAATAAAAAAATAAAAGTAGGCATCCCTGGAGCTGGATTTACAAGCCAAACTAGCTCAACCAGTGAGCCTAAGGGTCCAGTGGGAGACTCTGCCTCAAAAAATAAGGTGAAGAGAAATTGAAGAAAATACCTGATGTAAACTTCTGGCCTCCACATCCATATGTACTTATGTGCACATATACACATGTGTACATGTACTTCCCCACACACACATAAATGCAAATAAATATGTAAATACACACATTCACTAGAAATCTCACATCTTCTGTGGGATCCACAGAGACTGGCAAACTTCTTCTGCTCCCAAGTTGATAGAAATCTCAGACCTTTGTCAGTTTTGAAAGACAATCTTTCAGGTTATCTCTCAGGTATTGTGAAAAAAAATTAAAGATTATAACACAATATGCTTACCCCAAAATGAGGTGTGTTTTGCTGTTATCAAATGCTAGCTACTAAGATCATGGACTAAGACACTAGTTCTTGGGAGATGTACTCTGAAGGAATATAAATTAGAGGTTGACATTTAATGAGACACCTTTATTAAAATGAATAAAATCTCTACAAGCTATTAAATTTCCTTTAATCTGAAAAGGAATGAACTGTCACATGGAAACCTGATGGTCTATGCACGTCCACAGCATACACAGCAGGCTTTGGGGTCTGGCTCGAGGGGCTGTGTTCAATACGGCTAAGGCTACGCACCAGTTCTCTGGCCTCTTCAAGCTGTTTCTCCACGTTGGCAACCATTTGCTTCTTCTCATCTAAAACAAGCAATAATATCAAAGAAATGATAATTATACAACATAAATTGAATTATCAGTGATTCTCAGCCTTCTTAATGCTAAAACCCTTTAATACAGTTGCTCATGTTGTGGTGATCCCCAACCATAAAGTTACTTTGATGCTACTTCATAACTATGATTTTGTTGTTATAAATCATAATGTAAACATTTGTTTTAACTGTCGGTCTGAGGCTGTGAAAGGGTCCGTGGTCCACAGGTTGAGAACCACTGCTTTAACGCCTTCTACTTTAACATATCCTTCTCCTTTGTGAGTAACCAGATCAGTAAATGTAAAGCAAACAGATCATTCTTTGATAGGTTATGAACTACACTGAGCACTGGCTCTGCAGGATGTGGAAATTCAATACACAGAAGGGCTGAGTTTTTTAGAGATGTCATATATTTATAAGGGATACTAAGAAGAATCTTGTTCTCTGGAAGATATTATCCCTAAAACAACAGATACAGTGGTGACCAGAGGGATTTGCTATCATCATAGTAATAAATTGGAATCACTGATTTGTGACTATAATTTAAAACTCATATGTAAAAAACACTTCCCCAAACTGGGCAAGATCTTGTAACTCTTTACTCTTGTGCTTTCAATAATGTTAAGGATAAGGTATGAGAGCTGAAAAGAGAGAGGGCTCAGTTCAAAGCAGCAGTGTTCCTGCAGGGGACTAGGGTTCAATCCCTAGCACATACATGGTGGCTGCCAACTGTCTGTAACTCCAGTTCCAGGCATCTGAGCCCTCCTGTGGCCTCTACCAGCCCTTGAGCATGTAGTGCACACATGTGGAAACATTTACATACATAAAACAAAAATTTTTAAACATTTTTAAGAAGAATAAAGTATGATAAAAGAAATAGGTATTTAAAGTCTTGACTTCTGATTCCAAACCCAAAGCCCTATGTCACTCACTGGGTTAGGACACTGGACAACAAATAGTTTCTTTTTAAAATTCAGCCAGGGTTTTCTAAATAGATTTTAAAATGAGAGGAAAAAGCAAATAAGCAAACAAAACAAGGAAAATCCCAACCAAGGAGTGCTCTGAGTGTCTTCCTGTTACTCCAGTACACCATTTGCTCATTAGCAGTAGGGAGTTCCAAGAAACTGTTACAGCCCACAGGGGTCTAAGAGCTATGACTACTCAATATTGTAGGATCCATGCCTGGGTCCTGGAGTACCAAAAGGACATTAGGCTTAAAAAGTAAAAGAATTCTTTCCAGTTTTAATCACAAAGATGTGAATGACACATGGAATTCAGTCAATAACAAATGATATGGACTCAGGACTGGTGACAAATGTATCAAGACAAGATGTTAACAGGGGCCACTGGCATGCGGAAATGAGGAGTCATTTTGTGATTGTATAATTTCAATTATTCTAAAAGTAAAACATTTCAGGTCAGGAGTATAGCTGACTGAGTGCGGGTTTTAACAAGAGATAAGGCCTTGGGTCCCACACCCAGAACCACAAATACAAAATGAAGCCATTACTTAAACTGACTATAAACTGTCTAAGGGAACAAGATCCCTCTGGGTTTACAAAGTAGACGTGTAGAAGTGTAAAAATGAAAACATGTATGTGTATACACACTTGACACAAACTTGTATTTGTTACCCAAAGATGACTAAAACTCCATAAACATTTGTTTATAAAGCATAACTGGATCATAGGCAGTAGCTGACAGCTATCTCCCAATATACTCAACTAAAAAGTATATCTGACAGCTTCAATGGTCTTTGAAACTTCGCACGCTGGGACAGCTACTCCATTAGACTGACACCTGTCTTGCAGCATCTCTATTACTCCCTCCCCTCATTCCCTTCCCTTCATCACCAGAATTCAACATCATTTCTACATCCATGTCCCAAAGCCCTGACAGCCCATTTCTCTTCAAATGTAGGTTTGCATCAAGAGACTTAACTTCATTCTAGATTAGGCACAGAAAGGATGCAAGAAGTTAAGTGCAAGGTTCCCTTTAAAGTACAATTTCAATGACAAAGTCTGAAGAGCTGGATCCTAGCCAGCCTTGCCCACTGCTGACTGAAGCCCCACAGTGTAACTAAACGACATCTCTCAAGGGCTAGTTTGCTATGTGCTTCCTCTGCTGGTGTGGCAATTTTCATTCGACTCTTAGTGTTATAAGTCTGAAATGAGCACCCTTCCTTCCCACTCTACAGATGGAAGAGGCTTACAGAGCCAAGAAATCTGTCCACAACTAAGTTTAGGCAGAAGTGAGATCCTAAAAAGGTCTGATACCAGCAGCCAGAGTCTTAATCACGCTGTCACAATACATTCTTGGTACATTCTAGCTATAACCCTAACGGGAGTCACAATTGACCATGAGGAGATAAAGAAGTAATTGCCAACTGAAATTCTGTTGAAGACCCTCCACGATGCCTGCCTATCAGGACGGAAGCTCCACCAGGCAGAAAGTACTCTTCTGCTGAGAAATTCACTCCCAGCATGACAAAAATCAGGAATGTAACATGAGTTACAGTCTTGGCTCACTGATTTCCCTGATTTGTCTGACTTTCCTACAGAACAATCATCATTAAAATTCAATCTTTATAAAAAAAATTCAATCTTTAAATTCAGTAACCACAGTGTGTTCATTAAGGGACTCACCCACCTAAAGATTACAGCTATCAAAATTAGTTAAGATTCAAACACTTCAAAGAGCAAAGGTTTTTTTAATTGATAAATTTTTACAGAGTAATCAGTTTCTTTTTAAAATAAAGTTTCAGAATGTTCTTTTTCTCCCCTACTCTCTTTGGAAGTCACCTTAGCAGAGAATGGCTCATCTCCACAGAGTCCCAGCACTGCAACTTAAACAAGCTGGGATTTGGGGGAATGAGCTGCTTTGATTTTAAAATTTGCTCCAATTTTTAAATCTTTTTAGTTCAAATAAATCACAGCTCCTCTCTGGGTCTTTTTCAGCTGAGTAACACAATGACTATGATGCTGTGGGATATTACAGTTACAGTAATTATTATGCTAATTAATAATATAACTTTGGTAATTACATAATCCCACAGCAAGCATACTGCTTTTGTCATTGTTACATGATTAATTCCTGTTAATTCATAAATCCATGGAAGAATATCCTTTTCTATAAATTAGAAACAGGTTAAAAAGGGAGCAAGCACATTAAGAGGAAAACCACTGTATTTTCAAGCATCATTTAATTATTCAAATAAGTATACATTTTTCCCACAGTGCCAACAATACAATCTCCTTTCAAATGAAACATGGTTGCAGTGTGTGGGTCTCACATTAAACTAAATATATGGGCAGGGATAACAGTATCTTTATTTTTTTTAAATAATTCAACTGTTTCCTTCTATGTGGCAAGAATGTTAAACAGAGGCAAGAAAACTCATTGTAACAAAATCTATTTCTTAGAAAGAGTCTTCATAACTTTGTAACCAGGATGACACTACTTTGTAAACCGTCTCTCAATACTAAAGCTATTTGCCCAAATTTTTTTTTTATAAAAAGTTTCTACTGCTAAAAACAAACAAACAAGCAAAACACATTAAAATTCAAAATGACCAAAATCCAACTACAACTGCACGTCCTGGTACTCTGAGGCTCTGGGACTCAATTCAAAGGCAAGAGTCTCAGACAACAATGGCAACAAAATCAAGATGATCTTGGGCAATGGAGACAAGTGAGATTGAAGAGGACAGGAGAGGTGAAGTATCATGAAGGCAGAAAGCCATCATCTACTTTGTAAAAATCTCTGAGGTAACACGGTTCCATGGCATATGCTACCTTGTCTCTCCCATTGTTCCCTTCCTTGGACTTATAAACCTCTTTAAGACATCATCCACCTCCTTCAAAGCTAACTGGGACTTCAGGAGGTAAGTGGGATGGAGGCTCAGAGGTCCTGGTTTTGAGCAAATAACCCTAGTAACAGAAAACAGGTGGGGGGGGGGACAAGGAAGAAAATTATTTATAAACATAAAGATTGGGGAAAATTCTGGACAGAGGATGAGGAACAACTTAGATTCAAGAGAAGTTACTGATGTCATCTTGGACTGGGCTGACCAGGTAAGAAAGTGAAGTTATCCATAATTCTGCAGACCAATGAGAATCATCTCTTTAAACAGTATGCTCCAGAGCTGAAGTAGAGACAAGTTCAGCAGCCCAATGATCATTCAATTTCCCTAATGAAACTGCGCCAAAAAATAAATAAATACAACTCATAATTTGTTACTAACTACTCAAGTTAAATCTGTACTTAAAGAAAAATCCTAAAGCACTACCTTACAAGTCATAAGATATTATATTACAATCCCCTGTTTATTCATAAAAACAAAACAAAAACTCATTTTTCTGAGCCCTCAGAAAAGAAAGGTCAGACTAGGCCCCCCACCTTCACACTGTTGACAACCTAGCATGCAGGGTAATACTTGGGGGATGCTGAATTTTAAAAGTGAGAAAAATTGCCCTGTACAGAGTTTATATAAAATTGGGTTATAAGGCGGGCGGTGGTGGGGCACGCCTTTAATCCCAGCACTTGGGAGGCAGAGACAGGCGGATTTCTGAGTTCGAGGCCAGCCTGGTCTACAGAGTGAGTTCCAGGACACCCAGGGCTATACAGAGAAACCCTGTCTCGAAAAACCAAAACGATAAAAATAAAAATAAAAATAAAAAATTGGATTATAAAAACCCAAGAAGGATGAGAAACACAGAATCAGGGCAGAAGTCTAACAAGAGCTAACACACAGGGCTTCTGTATCAATCTTCACAATAGCCCTAAGAGAGGTACGATTCTCTCAAACCAAGAAGGAAGTTTTGAAGGACAACGAAAACTTTCCTAGGAGACAACCTCTAAGTGGTATGTTAGATTTGAATTCGGGCATCCTAGCTTGTCACTCCAGTGTGTCACGGATAAAGGTAACAATATTATTTACTAAAACGACAAGGCTGCTGCACTTACAGAGCAAAACTCTTGACACTTTGATGTAGTTCCTTTGAATACTCAATTATATTTTACAAAGGAAAAAAAAAAGGTAGAAAGAAGAAATCAAGAAGCAGAGCAATGTTTCCAAGGTTAACAGCTTTTACAAAGCGATGGGGTAGAAAATTGGCATCTCTCCCCCCACCCCCAAATGGTTTCCATGCAGAAGGCGCTTTACATTTGAAGCACATTTTGTACCTATTTTAACCTACTACCAAGAACCCATCCCTCCCCGAGTCGCCAGCCCCGCCCACACCAGCCTCGCGCCCAGAAGAGCGTGCCCAGGCATTCCGCGGCCCCAGGCTCTCCAGGCCGCCCCCGCCCGGCCGGGCAGGGTACTCACCGGGAGGAAGCCGAGGGACCCTGGAAATCTTGCTGGTGATCTCAGCAGTGAGCACTGAGAAGTCCTGCTCGTACCCTTCGAAGTCGGAAGACATGGCAGCTCGGGAACGGCCGGCCAGAGCCGGGTTCTAGTTCAGAGCAGGACTCCCGAAGGGCGCCGGGCCTCGGCGCAGGGACCCTGTGAAGAAGTCGCCACAGCACAGCGGGAACCGGGAACAACTCCCAGCCCAGCCGCTTCCTGGTTGCTCTACGCAGTCATTGTCCTCCGGAAACTGCGCTGCCTGCGCCTTTTCTTTTCCACTCAATCGTCGAACGTAAAACTAAGAAAAAGTTCACTTTCAGTGACCCTTAAAACAAACAAACAAAAAACCCTACGATAACCCACATGCCCTCTGGAATCACAGAAAACACTTCCCCACACTGCATGTCCAGGGAACTGTCTGGACCGCCCCCCAAGTTCTAAGATGCAGGCGCGGGCTTTCCGAGGGAAGATTGACGCACGCGCACCTGCCGGAAGTGGCTGTGGCGGAGCCTGCGCCGAGGGCCCGGGCGGGAGCCTCACGGCGGCCGCTTGAGCCGAAGACGCGCGGGTTCGAGTTCCTCGCGCAGTTCTCGCCGCCAGGGCTCGCATTCGGCTCGCTCAGGACTGAAGTGCTCATGACAGACCTATAAGAAGGAGAAAAATCTGTTCCGGTGAGCCCAGGCCGTCCCGGAAATGCGATGGCCGTGGACCGGGCACCGGAGACCAGACTGAGGTGGGAGTCACCGCAGGGGTTGCAACCCGCTTGTGGGGCGGTCTTCCCCCCGACCTAGTCGGGCCAACATCTCCAAAATATCGAGCCCAGCCTTGCTTAATAAGACATTTGTCCTGTGAGTGAAGATCCCAGGGCATCCCGCACCACTGCTTGGGCGGGAAACTGAGGCAGGCACCAGGCTGGCGCATCCGCTGCGTGGGAATCCGTTACGCATACGTCATACCCATGTACCCCGGCTCATTTCACTCCATTCAGAACTTACGTCTACAACTATTCGTCCCCTGTTCGTGCCTTCTTCCCTTCTCCCTCGCCCCCAGAGGGAATTAATTTTTTTTTCTTAAATCTGCCTTGTGCTCGTTCTCGTCCACTGCTTCAGTCGTGATTTTTGTGCGCACACATGCGGTTTTCTCATTTTAATCTCACCTTTATTCCTGTACCTTTAACCCCGATCGATTGCTAATGTTGGCGCTTGGGAGAACAACTGCCGGCTATTAATACACAAAGTATTGTATGTGTAGAGCATGTCACAGTTAATCCACAACTCTCTGGGAGGCAGTTTAGAACATCCTAAAAGAAGTTTGGTGCCTTGGCTTCTATTCTGGGATCAGCTGTTACTTGTGACCTTGGTCAATCTAATCACAGTCTCTCTAAGCCAGTTTCTGTTGTAGGAAGAATTAGATACGTGGTAATTAGGTAAGACTCTTGTTTCTGAACTCCCTGAGTCTTTGTTCTCTCAAACGATCCACTAAGCAAGAAGTAAAACTGTTTAATCTGTACGGTTTACATGCACTTCAAGCTCGGTCTGTATTCTGGATAGGTCTAAAGTAATTCTTTTTGTTCTCAATCAGATGTGAACCCCGCACTAGTGTGCTTTTGAGATGCTGTTTCAGTGCTTCTTGGAGTTCAATAAATGGCATATGGACTTTTTAAACAGAGTTTTCCCATCTTGTTTTTTTAGGCTGTGTTTCAAACCAACCTAGATTCTCCTACTTGAGATAAAGCGTTCTTCTGGAGGCCACCAGTGAAAATGGCATACTCCACATCAACGCCCTGGCAGCCAAAGGCATGACAGCTCAGGAACACACATGGACTTGTTGCACACAGAAATGTGTGCACAGGAAAAGAAAATCTCTAGTTCTTTGAAGAAAGAAATCGTTCTTCACCAAAATGGGCACATTCTGCTCAGTAATCAAGTTTGAAAATCTTCAAGACTTAAGGAGACTGTGTCACTGGGGTCCCATCATAGCCCTTGGTGTTATAGCAATATGTTCTACGATGGCCATGATTGACTCTGTCTTGTGGTATTGGCCCTTACATACAACTGGAGGAAGCGTGAATTTCATCATGTTGATAAATTGGACTGTCATGATTCTTTACAATTACTTCAATGCCATGTTTGCTGGTCCTGGCTTTGTCCCTCGTGGGTGGAAACCGGTAAGAAAAAGATCCATTTGACAATGATCATTGCAGAAGTTTGTGTTTAGTTTGCCATTATAATTACATTTTGTTTTTACCTAATCAGCCTTTGTCCTAGGAGACACTGGTGCTACTCTAGCTACTGATAATTACTTATGTGTGATCTTGTGTCTATTTGAAAATAATGATCTATGTTAGCTATTTCCAAAGCAGTTGAATACTTGTTCTCTGGGGGGTTCGGTGGTGGCGGTGTTTAAAGGATATGTGTGGTAGTCCATACCTTAATCTCCCCAGTGTGGAAGCAGAGGCATGTCATCTTGTGAGCTAGACCCACCTGGTCAGTATAGCAAGTTTCCAGAGACGAAAGGGAAGATGGCACCTCAGGCTGAGAACATGTTGGAACACATGAAGAGAAACTGAAGAGCCTTATGTAACTGCAAAAACAAAAAGAGCCAAAAAACAAGGGCAGGAGTGCCAACTAGCTCAGAATACATGGGAGCTGCTTGCACCACAGGGATGTCTAGATGTTTTAGGCAAAGCCCTGGCAGAGGACTGTATAGGAACAGAAATTTATGTGAGAGAAAACAACCAATCAGGGAGTTCCTGAAATGACCCAAAGAGGCAAGGTGACAAAGGCAGTAATTAAGGAGGGAGAAACTCCAGAGAGTGTCACTCATCGTTCACTCTGGAATACTAGTCAGGTTATCTAAAACAACTCCCACTAAGAGTGGGGAGACTTAAGTCTCCTTAAAGTAGAACCAGTGGACACCAGATTCAGGTTGAATGTGTAGAAAAGAAAAATAATCTCTGAGAAATCTGTAGGATGAAACTGTCCCGACAGTTCATCACTTAAAATGTGTTAGTGCAAATGCAGGCATTGGAAACGCCAGTTACTGACCCTTACCCTTCCTCCATAAAAGAAGTGTATAGCTCTAGGAACCTTCCTTCATAGCTCGACTTGTCACCATTGAGGATCAAGTAACTGACACACCTCCTTTTCTATCAAGGAAAATTCTCAGGATAGCATGTATCTTCAGTATTGTAAAGTCTGCCAGGCGTACAAGGCACCACGTTCACATCATTGCAGAAAGTGTAACAGGTGCGTGACTTTTCTGTTTACTGGGCCTGATCCACTTGGTTTCTCTTCTTTTTGTTGTATTTCTTGTCATGACAGTAGAATCCATTTTTGTTCCCTAAAACTATCCTACTTTTCTGTTTCTGGGATGAAACACTGACCAAAAGCACTTTGCAGGAGGAAAGGGTTTATTTGGCTTCAGGTTACAGTCATTCTCAAGAAAAGCCAAGGCAGTAGCTTGAACCAGAAACTGAGGAGTGCTATCTAGTGCTTGCTCTTCCTGACTTACTCAGCTACTGTTTTTTTGTTTGTTTGTTTGCTTTTTAAGGCAGTCCAGGCCTACCTAGTTGTAAGTGATACTGCCCACAGTGGTCTGGGCCCCTTCCATGTCAATCAGTGGCCAAGAAAATGATGCCTAGATAATTCCCATGGTCCAGTCATGGAGGCATTCCTCTTGGGAACCTGTCCTCCCAGTCTGTGTAGGTTTGGGTCAAGTTAACAAAAACTAACCAGCACAGCAAGGCATTCACCTTGTCAGAAATATTGTCAAAATACTTGTCTGTAAGATTAGTTTGCATTTAAATATCAACACAGATCATTTCATTCTATTAGAAGAAAGAGATTCTTTTTCTAGAAAAATAAACCTTTTGCTTCTCTCCCCACAAAAGCAGATTAAAAGTTATCATTTTAGTTTTTCTCATTTGCTGTGTCAAGATTAATTGCATTCATTGATTCCAGTAATGACTAGCTTTAGAATTGAGTCTGAATTAGACTGGTTTTTCTCAGTTTTATTCATATCTGTTATCAAAATTTTGATGGGAAGAAAACTGAATCACTATAAAAATGCAAAATATGCCAGGACCTAGCAACATCTATTGATTAATATGAAATTTAGGAAATCTAAATCTAAGCTAAAGTCTGGTTTGTTGCTAGGAAATTTTTCTTTATCAAACAGACAGGAGTACTGTGAGGCTTCTTCCCGTATCACCTGACATGCTGAGGTTGGTGTGGGCTAGAAGCTCTGTTTCTAACACGTACTGTGAGAAAGGAAGGAAGCTGCCATTGTGACTGGCGAGCTTTATAATCCTCTGGAGTCGCGTGTGGACTGTACCCCAGTCTGAGCCTAAGGAGTGGCAGCCACGCTTCCTCCTTTGTCCTGAGACTCTTGTGGAGCTACCTGGCTTCTTTATGCAAACTTTTATTTGCAGCAGACATGTTTGCTTTAGAAGTTGTTGTAATGTCAGCTCACTCTTGTGCTATTTAGAATTTTAAAGAAGTTACCGTCTATAACCTCAAAAAGTCATAAAGATGTATCTACTTTATTAGAATTAGTTCCCCTGTGACTCCTGCACGTATTGGATTCCTATTTGCTTGGTCTTTTGAAAACTAGAGCTAAAGTGGACCAGATTTTCTGCTTTCTGCTTCATCCACATTTTTCTTATTAGATGTGTAATGAAGATGGACCACCACTGTCCCTGGATCAACAACTGCTGTGGTCACCAGAACCACGCCTCGTTCACGCTCTTCCTCCTGTTGGCCCCTCTGGGCTGCACGCATGCTGCTTTCATCTTTGTGATGACAATGTACACACAGCTTTATAACCGGGTGGGTGAGACCATGGCACACTCCCTTTCCTACTCAATGGGGTTACCTTATCAAGGTCATTGACAAGGTCCTTTGGAGATAACACTGTTGGGACTTAGCTGGTACAGCAGCTTATCAGTTCTTCGTCTTATAAAGCCCTTAATCTTGAAAATGAGGACAGATTATTTTATTCTGGAAACTCACCTTTTATGCTCCAGTTGAAGTTTATGCTTATAGTTTTCCCTTATCCATGGTTTATTACATTTCTCACTTAGTGGTTATGGTGAGTCTAGTGAGCAGAAAGAATCAGAAGAAAGAGACATTGGTACTTTCCTTCTCATTCTGTTCACTGTCTATAGCACATTGACATTCCTTTCCTCATTTGGAACAAGCACACTCGTAAAAATAACACATTAAGCCAAAAACACTTTGAGTCAACTTTTGGACACTAAGCATGAGATAAGCATGATACTAAGCAAGTTCAGAGGTCATACTCATTTAAAAATCCCTAAATAGGCTTGGAAGTACAAGACGAACACAGGCCCAGTAGGTATACAAAAAACTGGACACTACATGTCCTTCACAGAGGGGTCAATCCATATGTTTTTAGCCAATCTGTAATTTTCAGACAGTCCTAGCACAGCAGTGCTAATATTCCAAT